TATCCTGGGAACTTGCCGGTGATCCTCGGCAGCTTGAAATCAACACGGAGTCTAGAGTTGCGGGCGTTGCATCTATGTCCCCTTGCATGGAAAGGCCGACTGCAAGCAAAACCAGGCCCAATGCCGACGTCCGTAAGTCTGGAAGCCCTCTGGCCCCCCCCCCCCCCCCCCGAAGATTTTCTAGAGTCATTCTAGAGCTTGTTGACTCTTCCTGGTCTGTCATTCTGTCTTTGGGGGCGATGGTCATTTCCTGCGAATATGACACAGCTACATGGCTCTGGAAAAGGCTGCTGCGTCCGGGCTGCTCTGGAGTCATGAAGCCCATGGTTGCCAGCATGGCCTTTGCCAGTTGCGGACGCAGTTTAGAGTTGCGAGGGGTTGCGAGGTTTGTATGTTTTTTTGTGCAGCCCAGTCGCAATTCTGCCGTGCTTGAGCTCGGTGGCCCGTCGGCGCTTGAAGGCGTCGACGTCGCCGTCTGCGGTGAAACCAATGGGGTCCCAGAACCCGAAAGGTGCCTGCACAGCAGTGCGGAAGCCTTGCAATGCACTTCCTATTTCCTCTGCTGGCAGTGCCTCGGATACTTGTTTGCAGCCTAACGAGGACAGAAGCCATGCGAAGGATGACAAAACATTAGAATAAGCATCCCAACCCCTCGATGTAGTTCCGGGCAACTTCTCAGCATCTGACATCCGTCACCCACAAGTTGGCTGCGATCCAACAGACGCCTGCACGCCGAGCTCATTCTCAAAGGCGCTGACAACTACCTCGCGGTCGACAGACCCATGCTGAATGCTTGGATTAGGGGTTCCACCAGCGTTGGCAGGACTTCCGCTGCAGAAGCAACTTGCCAACTAAAATCCGGAAGCCACGGTCAGCTTGGCCTGGGACTTGCGGCTCTGGCTGGCCTGGACAAGCACTCGTTTGCAAGGGCCACAAGCTACGAGGCCACGAGGCTCCTTCTTTCGCACTCAATACAACTAGGAACTAGCTGTAACGAGGTCCACTGCCACTGCCCCGGAGCCCGTCCTTGCCACGAAGCTGCGCTGCCAGAAGAGCCTAGGCCGCCGCTCTGCGATGCTGCACGCATCACTCCAAAGCAAGTCTGATGGCAACGCTGTCGCGGCACGCATCACTCCATCCACCCACCCATGCATGTGCTTTCATGCAAGCATCTAACCCATCGCCCGAGTGGCCCACATGTCTACGCATCATATATATATATGTATGTATGT